ACAAGGCCAACATGCCTCAGAGGGTACATGAGCAGAGGTGGACCTCCTGCCACTCTCTCAAACAGCTCAGTCGGGTTTTTTTGTGTTAGCTTCCCTTACGCTGACTTTTTAGCTGGTAACTTGGAGTTCCAGGTTTCTTTTTACTGACACATGCAGCTTATAGACGGCCTGTAAGTTAGATATCTGAGGTGTCTTTGGGATGGCGTGCTTGAAACCTTTGGTCTGCATCTCTCTGCTGGACATTCTGTTGCTTCTGGAGATTTCTTCACATGGACAAGGGCACAGTCATGGGAGCAAAAACTTTTTAAGACATGAAGATATATTGTATTTCTAAGACGCACGTTTCCTTCTTTTCTGACAGATTTGGAACTACCTGTACTTATTTATGAGTAGTACATCTTGACTGGGCTACCACAGTGCTAATCCACCAGTTAATCATCTGATAATACTGATAAAACATGTATCTCCAGAATTTAAGACATGGCCAATATACCACTTTCCAAACATATGAAGATTATTGCTGGATCCAAGTACTGTGAAGTACTGACTAGCTAGTTTGCTAAACAATTTTGTCTTGGAATATTGCGTCTGTTTGAGATGGTAGGAATACAGTTACCTTGCTTGTATGGAAAAATACGGAATATGTCTGAGGGAGAAGGTCAAGATCTTACAGTTTGTTTGAGGCAAAAAAATTCTAGAAACAGAGCAATTCCCCATCAGAGATCTGGGTAAGATATGCCTTCCTTTATTTTTAGATAAAGCAGGTTGTGCATATTTATGCTTATTGGTTTTTTTGTTTTGGTTTGGTTTGGTTTTTTGTTTTTTTGGGTTTTTTTTTCTGTGTTGTATTGCTTTATTAGGGGAAACAATACTTTGGTGATTTATCACAGTTCCAAAAGAAAGGAACTGCAGGTCCCAAATCAGCAGGATGTATGAAATGAGTTTGTACAAAAACTGCTCTAGTCTGTGAAGCTGATTGATTGTGGGATTTGAGACTTAAGTCCAAATTCCAAACACCAGAAGATTGACAACAACGAATACCAGAGAGCCAGGATGTAGCTGGCTGTGAATGGTAAGAAGTGCCAGCTACGACCTAGGCTTATGCGTCCTTGCGTGCCCAGTGGCTCACTATTGACAGGCATATTAAAAACAGCAAATATTTGCCAGCTTCAGCAATGTACAGCATCAATAATGCTAACACCTTTTCTGACTGTAAGACTCATTTCTTTGCGCCTCAAAGAACAAATTAACTCCATTCACTTTTCCTATAATCTTTAAAATAAGAGTCAAATATAAATGACTGTATGCAATCATTCACTAGGCTGTAGTCCAATCCAAGTAAGAAAGTGGTAGTGTAGCTGACTCTGCAAATCATGCTTCGTGATGGTGTTCACTGTCTCATGGGCTCAGTACAGGGCATGCAGTCTTGGTAGAGTCTGGATAGATTATGAAGGAAAGCTTTAGATCTGGTCTATTTGATCTTGTCCATTTTCTTACAACTTTATGATAATATTTCTCATCTTGATGTAAAATTCATTTCTTGCATAACTCTTGCATTTATACCTTCCACATTTGTTTTATGCACCTTACATATACCTTTTTTTTTAATCAGTTGCACTAGGACAATACAGTATTATTAATGTAGTTTGGATAGTTGAAACTGGTTTTAGTAATTCAGGTGTTAAAAGTAGTTTTTAAACTCAAGACTTTCAGAACAAATGATAAGTGCTTTCATTTCATGATGTCACACTTGTGTAGCTGACAGCAAATCTTTCAGTATGCTTGGAAGGCTGAATCACCTGATTTTAGGTAGACAGAGTTTATCAGTAATAAAATTTTTTTTATTCTCTTCATCGCTATGTCAACATAATCTGAAAATGTAGTTTTCTGCAAATGTTTCTCTTGGAGAGCAGTTCTCTTTCCTTCTGTCCACTCTTCTTGTTTGGTTTGATTACTGATCAGTTTCTCTGAGTACTAGTATGGGAGTATAAGATTTTTGTATTTGGTTCTCATTTGAATGAATTTGTGTACCCAGACCACTATATGTGTTTCTCTTACACATGAATGTGAATCTTTTTATGAATATTCGAATAAACCCTCCTTAGCTAGATGCATTATCAACAAGTTTCTATCACCAGGACTGTCTTTTTTCCCAAATGAAACCCAGACAGTGTGATTGCTCATCACCTAAGCATTATCTGCTCCAAAGGAAGAATCAAGAGATCATGAATCATAAAAAATAGAGCTGAAAGAGACTTCAACATGTTATCTAATTCCCTTTCCCCTGCTCTGTCTCTCTTCAGTTAACTCCACAAATGTGTTTCTTCATTGATGTTTCTTTAATCTCTTGATTGAGATTCCACAATCACCTGAGATTTTCTATTCCAGTAGTGCTCCTCTACCCTTGCCATTTCTGTTACTTTTCCCTAATGTCTAACCTGAATCTTTCTTGTTCCAATTAAGCTCCTTTACACCTTGTCTTATACCCCATGGATATGGATAACAGATTAGTCCTATCTCATTGCAGCAGCCTTTCACAAACTACCAAGCTCTGTACTGGGTTCTCCAATGAACAGAGGCTCAAGGGCAGTGCTCTCTTGTGTTCACTTTCTGCTGCGAAGCAGATCTTCCCTGAGGAGCAAAGGAAAGGATTCCTCAGAGGCAGGATCTTACAGTCCAGTTTACTGATACAGAGATGTAATCCATCTCCTGCTGAAAAGAGGACAACTTGCTATCACTTAATTTTTCCAATTTTCCAGGTCAAGAGCTCACTGCCTCTTAGTGTTCCTACTGTCACTGTCACCCACCCCAAAATATATAGCTAAGAATGATGATTTAAAAATTAAAATGCTGTCTGAGTTACTGGGATGCCCAGATTCAGTTCTCTTCTTTTCTCATATGGTTTTGGATAAAGATAGGGAGAAGAGGGAGAAAAGGAGAGAAAAAGGAAAAAAGCCCTCGTGTGTTGTGATAAAGACAGTTTAATAGAACAATAATGGGAAAGGAAAACAACAATATAATAATAATAATGGTACAAGAGTATAGAAGACACAAGTCACTTTCACCACCCAGTGAATTGGTTGCCTGAGTGGTTGTCACAGATTCCCACACCTGTGCCAAACCCATTTATATAGTAAGCATGAGGTCTGTTGTAGAGAATATTCCATTGGCCATTCCCTTGTTCTGTCTGTGCTCCTTCTCAGCTTCTGTTGAAAGCTGAAAAATGTCCTTGCATAGTATAAACATAATCTAGCAACAACTAGACCAATATGCATTATGGAGCTTTGGATGTGGTGCTGCATGGTGCAAAACAGTTTAATGCTGATAATGTCAAATCAGGAAACATGAAGAGTTTTATGGGTTGATGTGTGCACTCTGGAAGTTGTACTTTAGGACATGAATCTGTCCTGAGGATGGTTATGTGAGTCCTGATGAGGAAGCACTGAGCAATACAGGAGTGCATTACAGTCATTTAGTCATTTTTTTGTCTCTTAAAACAGATTGAAATTTTGATTGAAGTACTTTTAGTCCAATTCCTTACAAAATTTTAAAAGATTAAAGAAAAGAAATTCCAGAAGAAACATTATGTAGCACTTGTGATATTTTCTGTGGGACAAGGTTATGAGTTCTTTTATTGCCCATTTCTATTTTTGCAGGGGGTGGAGAGGTAGGTACTACCCTTTTCTTATATGTGCTATTTTTGCCTGTATTTTTAAATAATATATTATATATATATGATTATAATACAGGATTTAAAATTCAAATTTTCATTTACCTCTGCAAATATTAGGAATAACTCAAGTCCCAGGCTTACAAATTGTGTGTAGTTGTCCCATTAACTACATTATTCTCAATACAGTTTGTAGGGATTCTAATTATATTAATGGTCCACAAATACACTAAAAAAACCATAGATAATTACAGAATTAATATTGTGAGTATGTATTTTTAATTTATATAATTCATACACAATGAATTCACACTTTGCACATTCTGTTTATATATAATCAATACATGTCCTAAAAAACTGTTTAATCAGAAGAACAGTAATATAGAAGGAAAAAATAGTTTGAGATGAGAAAAAATGTATTCAAACTTGCATAAAATTCTTTGTAATGCTTTCTTTATGAGTGACAACTGTGAAGGTTGATTCAAGTCAAGCAAATGGCATGCCCCAGATAAAATTTTCCTGACCACCACCTCTGCGGCTGAGCAAAGCGAGCAGTGACCCTGGCTGTGTTACATGGGCAGTATTTTCTGCACAGCACATTGTTACTGGGCACAGACAATGATTAATTTCAGACTTCAGGCGTACAGGCTAGAGAGGATTGTTTTTTCACCTTCAGAAAACGTCCCACAATACCTCACCCTGTTTCTCAGTGATCCACCACTGTGTAGATAATGATGCATTACACCATCTGGCCCTGATGCTCATGTCCATTTCAGAAGTGAGCTATGATTTAGTAAGAAAGGCAGGTGCTCAACTTTCTTAGAACAGATTATGTCTGCTTTCTCAGGAATTATAGCAAAATGGAATAGCCTTGTTGCAGGGAACAACTGCTGAAGACATGCTTTAAGATAAATCAGGATTGAAGAGATTTATTGATTTATTAACAACATGTAATTAACTGGCAGTCAGTGAACTATACTTACAGGATCAATGTCAGCAATAAAACAGATAAACCACAGTATGAGACACCTAGAGACTGTAAACATATTCTTACAAGTTGCTAAACACCCTTCTGTACTTGTTCCTAGGAGGTTCTCACCACATGCAAACCCTTCACGCAGCTGGAGGCCCGCAGCCCCCTGGCCCTGACAGTGTGGGCTACAAGCACCCCCTTTTCTGTGAGTGCCAGTTCCTGTATTTATGTGCCCCCCCTGTGTGCCCAGGCTGCTCCCTACAATCGACTCATCAACATGCTGGTGAGGAACCACCCCCTTGTCCCTACTTCTTGCACCCCATACTGCCAGCCCACTCATTAGAGGGCAGGGTAGAGATGGCATTTGATGGGGACCATGCTCTGTCAGGCCTAGGTGGACGTTGCAATGCCAGTGGGACGACTTCTGGGAATACCAAACCCTGTTTGGCAGCTGCTGACACCAAGGTCTTCGCCAGTCAGAAATTTCCATGCTTTTTTTATATTTCCTTCCTAACTCACTCCTCCTTTTGTCAGAAGTCTCTTGGTAGACCTTGGCTATTGTTTAATCCAAATGGTGGTCACCTTAAGCAAAATGTCACTCTTAATTTCCTCTAAGCATTGTCAGGTTTGGGGCAAACACCCTCTCAGCAGAGACAGTTTTGGAAAATCTATTCACACACAGTGGCTACACTCACAATCTTCCCACATCACCCACGCTTATCCAGGTGATGTTAGTAAGAGCAGACTGTACAGATTCCCCTATACCATTTCCTACAAATGTTGGTGCAAAACTGTGCTTTACCTTACAGAAACAAATCTGGAAAAAACAGTGTAGAATCATACAGTGGCCAAATAACCACAATATAAATACAGGATTGGCAAATATGGATTGAAAGGCATACAATAATCATTCCCAGATTTTAGTACTGGCCCCTTTAGTACTGGCTATGGAATAGAATATTTCCCACAATGGGTTTGTTTATTAGTACCTTCCCATAGTTTTAAGGCATGTCTATAACCCAATAAATCTTCAGCCTGATGTACATTTGATTTAATGAGTTTTTGGATTTTGGTCTTTTTGCATGCAGAAGGTAGAATTTTCTCAACCCCTAGTATGTGACTGTAGCTTCAAGAATATATCCCATAGTTCCTCATGCAAGAATGTCCCGTGATGAATGAGGACATAAAAGGACCATGAGTCTGTAAAATTGTAAGCATTCAAATATACATATTTTTCGAAGAGTATTTTTCTTTGCTGTTACATTAACCTAGCCTGGTTACTGGATACGTGTTTAAGGAATCTAAGCAGTATAATTTACTGATGAGTTATGAATGGTTGAGTTACCTTGTTCCACTAAATGTTCCCATTTCAGGCTTCAGGTTTCACTGTGCTGTCTTTTCAAGGCTTAGTGAATGGGTGTACAACCGCACTGCTAAAAGATTCTGTCTTCTTAATGAATGCTTTGGGCAAAAAACAAAAGGTGGAAAAATTACAACTACCTAATGATCAGTAGTAGGTTCTCTCCTGTGATTCCTCTAGGTTAGCTCAACCCGTTTATCAGTAGGGCACAGTTAATGCAGGGACCATCACTTGAAATAAAGAATAGGGAGCTATGCAGTTTTTGCATTAGATAATTTCAGTGTTCTGGGCAGAAGTAAAAAGTAACATTGAAATTTCTCCTTAGGCATCCTTCTTAGATCAATGTAATTGAAATCATAAAGGACATTTAGAGCTTTTGCTGGACTCTAACTAACCCGTCATGGTAATGAACATAATTATTGTGGCTTTTTTTTAACCTGCAGCAAATTGTGATCATTGAGCTTTGTCTCACAATATTCATCTGTATTAGCAGCATGTACAGTACTACACCGTCAGGGGTGAGCAAAGAAAAAGGTGTAGTCATTTTTTTCAAATTTGGATACAGGTACCTTTCGAATGTTTATCATTCTTTTTGTATAGTTTCATAAATTTACAATTAGTATATTACGGTTGAATCCTATAGTCTTTGTTTTGCTTAGAAAGAAAATTGCGCTTTTTTTCCAAACAAGATCTGCTGGCATACACAGTCCTGAATTTTCAGCTTTCCTCGTTCTGTTGATTTTAGATTATAAACTCTTTATGGCAGAGACCGTCTATTTCCTTTTATGTTTATACAGTACTTCACATAATGGGAATCCAGTCCTAACTGGAGGCATCTAGGGAAAGTACCATTCTTGAAAGGTTATGTAATTTATGACATACAATTTTCCCATCTGAAAATGGTAAGGTTTGAGATAGATAAGCAGAATTAATACAAATGGTTTGCTTAATAAAGACAAGAGAAATACATTTCCAACAATATCTTACCTTCATGACTGTGGATTTGAAAAATGAATAATAGATGTAAGGTAGGCCCTTTTTATTGCCTACCTAATACCTCCAACATAAAATTGTAATTGAGCATAAAAACATAAATTCTCCTAACACAAAACATTTCTTATTAAGATAAACCTGTCAGTATGATGATACAAGCAATAACCTTGCATTACAAGAGTGTGGGCTAGAAATCTTTATAACTAATCTCACAAAAGTCCTCCCTTATTGACTTATATTTTAAGAATCAATTGCTTCAGATTTTCATTGGATTGAGAAATTGGTTGAGAAAGCCAGAATGAAATGTATATAAAATACTGATATCCTTACTTCTGCTTTCAATCATGCATTTTTAGCACAGGAATTATTACTATGATTTGCTCTTTTTTTTTTTTTTTTTTTTTTTCATAGCACTCGTGTATTCAAGTGCACCTGAAAAAAAAGCCAAAAAAGAAAAAAGTGGGTCTTGGCCTAATTGCAGATTTACATATGAAATTCTACATTTGTAAATACAGTACTCTCTGCTGTCTCTGCAATCTACATATTAATTTACAATTTAGGATATTAACACCATACATTTAAAAATACATATCTGGTGCCATCATCATATATTCATCGTTCATTTTTCTGAATGAAACTGGAGATGATTCACTATTTTTTATATATTCTGTATTACAGATAAACAAGGGGAATAATGTGCTTAGTAAGAGGCTATTTGTTGAAAAAAGTTGGATTCAAGGTCTGTCTCTTCTGGTGCTTGAAGTTCTACATAATGACAGTCTGAGAAGTCCTATATAACATAGCAAGAGTAGAGACACTCTGCTTGTTGGCCCACATTTTTGTGTTACTGTATATGGGCTTATGTTTTTATTGCCTACTTCTTGAAAGCAAAAATAGATTTTTCTTTCCACAAAATAGCAAAACCTGAAGCAATTATAGTGTGAAAACAGAAAAGGAATATTTTAAAGTTTCAAATTATTATAGAAACATTTCAATTAATATGTGATTTCATGAAAGCTGAATTTTTAAGCACCTAAATTTATAGCTAGATTTGATTTGAAAGTATCCCTTAGTGAAATGGAAGTCATTATGTCAGAAAGTATGTAATGTAATTAAAATCAAAGAAGGGTCGCAACACTTCTGATTGGAAAGATTCAGTTTGTGTTAGAAACAATATGTTTGGTCTCCCAGTCTTTTTTGTGGTGAGTTTAGTTGGTTGAAATTAAAAGAAAAATATATATCCTAATCATTCAGACAAGCCAAAAGAGAATTCTGCATTTTCTTTTGACCTACAGTATGTCCATATAGACAGTAAGATATAAATTAGTACATGTCTCTTTTGTTAAAAGCATATTCTCCAAAATTAGTTCAGTCAGGTTGAGTCCTCTGTCTTTCAATATGTTTAGCAGTGAATAAGCTTCTTCAAACCTGTCCCTCAAATGCACTTCATCCCTGTTCTAAATTAATCGCATTACAGAGCAAGGAAGCTCAGCTCCAAACCTATAGAATTTTTGGGTTCTCTGTATGCTGAATTTTCACTAATGCTAGGTACATCTGTTGGTCTTGAGGTAAGCATATAAATGCTTATTATGAAGAGTACTGTCATTCTGTGTGTCTTGTCTATATAAAAATACAAAATACTAGTAGCTCATGTCATTAATGGGGATCCTACTGCAAGTAGCAAGACTGAATGAAATTATATGCTCTTTTCTTTCTCAGTGTCATATAGAAATAATTTGATGGGTCTGGTTATGCAGTACATGTGTATAACATTGGTTTTCCAAATGCCACTATTTCAAACTGAAAACACATGGCACATGTAATCAAAAAATAGTGCTTGAAACTTGCTTCAGAAATGATATTGTAAAAAACACTTAGAAAATGGGTTTTCCCCTGTAAGAAATTTGAATTTCCCTCTTGTGTAAAACAGTAGAAACTTTATTTAAGTAAACAGAAAACTGTATCTATATATAAAGTTTTCAACAAACTTATGCATGAAGCAAATGCCAGGAAATTCCTGTGCTCCTGTTGCTTGTTTAGCCTGACAGTGGCTGTGAGCAAATAAACATGGTACCATGGGAAAATCTTGCAACCCAGTGAAAAAAAAATAATCATCATCATGTGATGCAATTCTGAACCAAAGCAACAGTGCTGCAGTCTGGGAAATTTTCTTCCACTTTTAATCCATGCTATTTTTTTTCCTGTGATTTGGTAGTTTTGGTTGCCCTGAGACAGTTGCCTCTACTTTTTCATCTCAGAGTTCTTTAACTGGAAGCCATGTAGCCATGGCCATTATGTTCCAGTGGTTTCGCTGTTACAGATTTTATGGCTTGTCTCAATATAGTGAATTCATATATACAGAATTAATTAGCGTGAAGGTATCAATAGTTCAATTCCCCATCCAGCAATTCAGTGCTAGTAGCAATTTAAATCTAGGAAGGAAAAAATTCTGTGTTACTTTGTAGGGAAGGACCTGGAAGAGGTGGTGGATGGATAATTAGACTGGAGGTTCTTCTGGATAGCAACTGTTCCTTAAATTTGTGTTTGTTTAATGTTGAACACAACAGGTCTCTGCTCATGCAACAAAATTAATGGAGTTCAACTAAAAACCACTTAAAGCCTGTATCTATTAAAGACAGTGATCATTTTGCTGCAGATGGCAATGATGACAAGAATAAATCCCCACTTATAAGCACAAGCCTCTAAGGTTTATGAGAGGTTCTATAAAAAGTGATATTTTTTTTCTTTAAATATAAACATGACTAATGAAAAAGAAACAATCAAAGTGAAGAGAAACAGAATTCTGACAGGATAGGTGGTTGCGAAGATGATAGTACCGAAGTTTCTCTGTCTCACAGCATCATTTACTGCATTTATCAAATGGCCTTTACTGGCCTTTACTGGCCTTTCCAAAACCAGTTAAAAATAAAAGAAAGATTTGCCCTAGATTTTTCTAGTGGTGTGTCACTGAATGTTTACATTAGAAGCTGAAAATAGTTTGCTAAGTAGTCAGAATTTAAGAGCAATTTAGATTAAACCTTTTCATGCTCATTTGTGCAATGCCTCTGGTATTTTAGCAGTATAAAAAGATTTTCTTGGCTTCAAACCATTGGATCAGGCTG